CCATAACATTTTCTTTATAGTGCTTTTATTATCAAAGTAAATACATCCAAGTAGATCATCACAGAAGTTATCACTTTTGGGGGGGGGGCTTTGGTGGTATTTTATTATTTTTTTTAATTTTTATTTTATTAGTACATTTTAGGTATACAATATAATGACATTCATCATTGGAAATTTGCACCTTTACATAATCTCTCTTGATTCTTATTTTTCCCCCTTCCCCTGCCCTCCCTTCAACCCCTCCAGTCCTCCCTATTTACAAAGACTTTGTTTCCATTTTTTCATTTTCTCATATTAATTCCATTCCCTTCTCTCCTTTCCCCTACCCCTTCCCCTTCCCCTTTGCCCCTTTTCTTCCTATTTCACATTATCTATTATACCTTTTAGTCCTTATTTACACTTTCAATTTCTCACACTAGAGAAACTATTAGGTATTTACACAAGTGTGTCCTATTTATTTCACTTAAGAGTATCGCCTCAGGGCCGGGGATTTAGCTCAGTGGTTTCGACTCCTTCTGCACAAGCACAAGGACCCAAGTTCCATCCCCAGTACCCAAAAAAAAAAAAAAAGAGTATCACCTCAATGTGTTAAAGGACATGTGAATATATGGTTCTGTTTAATATTTAATGTTTCTGCTTATGAAACTTTAACCAAAAAGTGTTGACTAAATACTAAAAATGTTGCATCTAACAAAAGAATGTAACAGCCCATATACATATCTACAAACAAAACACATGACCTTCAAGGGTATCTATCTTTCACCTTTTAAATACCAAATAATTTTTTCTTCTTTTTTTTTTTTTTGGTACCAGGGATCAAACTCGGGTTCTTGCAGGAGGCGAAACCACTGAGCTAAATGAGCTAAATCGCCGCCCCTCAAATATTTTTATATATTCCACTTTTACTTTCAAAACAGTAAAAATCAAGAATCCCTGCTGTGTTCTGTAAGTTTCTTCACTGCATCATTTTAGATAAGTATCATTTTAGCTATGGACCTCTTTGCATGAGTCTGTATCATTTTAGATATGAACCTCTTTGCATAAGTCTGGGGGGGTGGAACTATTTTGTTTTTGCTTTTGTTTTGTTTTGTTTTGTTTGAGATAAGGTCTCACTATGTAGTTCAGGCTGGCCTTGAACTCACTAAGTAGCCCAGGCTGGCCTTGAATTTGCAGTAACCCTCTAGCCTCAGCCTCCTAAGTGCTGGGATTCCAGGCGTGTACCACCACACCCAGCTGTGTGTGGTGCTGTTAATCAAACCGAGGGCCTTGCCTTGCACATACTAGGCAAATGGTCTACTACTGACCTACACCCCCAGCTCATATAACTTTACGATATTTTTATTTTGAAGAGCTACAAGAAGTACATAGTTCCAATGGGATAGTACATAAAACCTTTGATCCCAGTGCCAAAGGCATTTCAATGTCTTGAGTGACATTTTAATAACTGTCAGTGGCTCCTACCATGAGCCCAGTTTTGCACAGTGGTTAAGCACACAGTCAACACAGTATTGCTGAAGTACTTCAGCTCAAATCTTCCCTCAGCTTTATGGTTTTACAGATGATAAATTAGTACCTGCCATGCGTGATCTGTGTGAGGACAGAATGAGTTAATGTACATCAAGCACTGAAAAGACTATTTGTCACATAAAAATAATCACATGAGTTACCATATGTTAAGTGTTTTAGCGTGCCATGCAACACAGATAGCAATACTATAGAAGTATTTCTCTTTTTTCCTAATTTCCTTTCCCCATCTCACCATTCCCTCATGGCTTTCTCCTTTTCTCTTCTTCTCCCTACCCTCTGCACTTTTATGAGATTTAATGATAAATGTGGTCTTATCTTGGCCTCGCTGGGAGCTGTGAATACCACTGACCTTACAGATTCATGCACTCATGAGAAAAAGTCTCTCCATGTACTTCTAACAGGAGCTCTAACTGTTAAAATCAACAGAAGAACACCTGATAGTTTTTGCAATATGAGAAAGCAAATAAAACGGGGACAATTTTTATCAACCTATAAACTCTTAGAGCCATTGAAAGTCCTGCGTACCTGTAAGAAGTGATGAAAGACTAGTCCTTTTTGCACTCAGTAAAATTATTTGGTAGTATTTCAAAGGAAAAAAAATTATATATAAGGTCTCTTCTCTCTAGGACTCTGTTTTCACTTAGCTATGTAATTTTTTTTTTTTAATGGTACTAGGGGTTGAACATAGGGTCTCTGCACTTAGCTACATCCCCAGTCCTTTTTTAAAATTTTTTATTCTGAGACAAAGTCTTGTTAAATCACTAAGTTGCCCAGGTTGAACTCCAACTTTTCAGTCCTCCTGCCTCAGCCTTCCTGAGCATTGGGACCATACCTGGCACAGTTATGTATATTTGAAAAAAAGACTTAAAGGAAATGCTATATTTTTTATTTTTACTGTCTTGTATCTAGTTAATTGGAAAAGAAGGTTGGTAGGAGAACAAAAATGCACTGGGAAATGTCTTTTTCGTATTTACAGCAGTCTAACAAACCTTTGACTGATAAGCAAACTATATCAATACTGAACTACTTAGTTTAACAAATGTATATTGAGGGAGACAGACAGACAGACAGACAATTTTGTGCTATCCTTGCAAAATACTTCTGAAGTTGTAATTCCTAGAAGCCTTTTTCTGCTAGGGAAGCAGTACTGCTGACAATTACCGTCATGCTGACTCGGTGCTACCAAATGAAACAACCCAATTTTAGGTACAGTTCATCCATACTCTGGCAGGTCCATAAATGCATTCATACAAATACAGCACACCTTCTGCTTGCCAACTTGATACCATCCTGCATTTTCCCACTCATTACTGGTTATCAAACTATGATAAAATGTACATCTATGTCCTTGGCACCTGACTACTTGAGAAACTACATCAGTTCTAGGGGAAGAAATAGAGAAGTAGCCTGTCTAATTCACGGACATCAAGGTTTCTGACAAAAAGAAATCTGCTGACCACACACAAAAAAAACTATCAAGTAACCTATCATTAATGCTACAGAAAATTTATGCTGGTCAGCTACCAAAAAAAAAAAAAAAAAAGAGGTGCTTATTCTAAAAAAAAAAAGCAATTTCAGGGTTAACAATATTAAAGCATCAGTAAGACCCTGTGTGTGATATCTTCCCCAATCCTGGCCATTAAAGAAATAAGTTTTATCCTTTTGCCAGCAAATATGCAATTCCTTTGGTATAATTTTGAGACAGAAGAAAAGAAATTGAATATTTTGAACATTATGGTGCTATTTTCCAAGATTGAAATGACTTCAAACTGTCCTTGAGGACAGCAAGGTCACCTACAATCAAATGTGATTATTTTGACTATTATTACTAGGACCTTATGGCATAATAAACTTTTAGTATGGTCTGACTGTGCCACTTGGGACAAAACTAAAATATGAATTGAAGTAACTGCAGTAAAGAATGTTTCTTTTCTTCTTGGGAGAATATATCTGGCTGTGTTGCCAGATGGGCCTCCAACTCACGGGCTCCAGCAATCTTACTGTAGTGTCAGCCTCCCACATAGTAGCTGGGACTATAGGTGGGTGCCACCATGCCTGGCTTAGACATTTTTTTACAATACAGATTCGTGACAACAAAATCACCATTTCACACCAAATTTCAAAAATGATGGTCTTTCAACAACACAGAGAAGGGCAGAAGGTACCAGCATGGGAAGACTCTGAGGGTATCTAGGTTCAATCCTGTGTTTTTCTTTTTCTGCACCTCTACTTTCTTCTGTTCTTCCTCTCCTCTCCCAGAAACTCTGTGGTTTCTTTAAAGGACTGACTAGCAAAATGAAGACTATAGGGCCTGAGATTTAGCTCAGTGGTTCCACCGCCTACCTCCAAAGCACAAGGTCCCAAGTTCGAGCCCCGGTACAAAAAAAAAAGCAGACTGTAGAAAACTCTGTACAGTGAAAGATCTCCTATCTTCAATGAATAAACTGTAAGGGGAAAAAAAGAAATGGAAGGAGGAAACCATAAATGAGACTTTAAATAAACTTAAGTATAGTCTATAGGCATTATTTGGGTCCCAATTCAATGGA